AAATGCTTCTTACGAAGCCACTCCTTCGTTGCCCGGGCGGTGTGTTTGGGATCATTGTCATGCTGAAAGACCCAGCCACGTTTCATCTTCAATGCCCTTGCTGATGGAAGGAGGTTTTCACTCAAAATCTCACGATACATGGCCCCATTCATTCTTTCCTTTACACGGATCAGTCGTCCTGGTCCCTTTGCAGAAAAACAGCCCCAAAGCATGATGTTTCCACCCCCATGCTTCACAGTAGGTATGGTGTTCTTTGGATACAACTCAGAATTCTTTGTCCTCCAAACACGACAAGTTGAGTTTTTACCAAAAAGTTCTATTTTGGTTTCATCTGACCATATGACATTCTCTCAATCCTCTTCTGGATCATCCAAATGCACTCTAGCAAACTTCAGACGGGCCTGGACATGTACTGGCTTAAGCAGGGGGACACATCTGGCACTGCAGGATTTGAGTCCCTTGCAGCGTAGTGTGTTACTGATGGTAGGCTTTGTTACTTTGGTCCCAGCTCTCTGCAGGTCATTCACTAGGGCCCCCTGTGTGGTTCTGGGATTTTTGCTCACCGTTCTTGTGATCATTTTGACCCCACAGGGTGAGATCTTGCGTGGAGCCCCAGATCGAGGGAGATTATCATTGGTCTTGTATGTCTTCCATTTCCTAATAATTGCTCCCACAGTTGATTTCTTCAAACCAAGCTGCTTACCTATTGCAGATTCAGTCTTCCCAGCCTGGTGCAGGCCTACAATTTTGTTTCTGGTGTCCTTTGACAGCTCTTTGGTCTTGGCCATAGTGGAGTTTGGAGTGTGACTGTTTGAGGTTGTGGACAGGTGTATTTTATACTGATAACAAGTTCAAACAGGTGCCATTAATACAGGTAACGAGTGGAGGACAGAGGAGCCTCCTAAAGAAGAAGTTACTGGTCTGTGAGAGCCAGAAATCTTGCTTGTTTGTAGGTGACCAAATACTTATTTTCCACCATAATTTGCAAATAAATTCATTAAAAATCCTACAATGTGATTTTCTGGATTTTTTTCCTCAATTTGTCTGTCATAGTTGACGTGTACCTATGATGAAAATTACAGGCCTCTCTCATCTTTTTAAGTGGGAGAACTTGCACAATTGGTGGCTGACTAAATACTTTTTTCCCCCACTGTATGTATGTATGTATGTATGTATGTATGTATGTATGTATGTATGTATGTATGTATGTATGTATGTATGTATATGTATATAAAAAAAACATGGGGGATTGGAAGTGATGCAGACAATTACATTGATGGAAGTTACAATCTATCTGCAATATTAAGCAGATCTACCCCGCCCCCCCCAAAAAAAATAAATAAATAAATAATAATAATTAAAAAACAAAGTGTTAAGTAAACAAAAGATAACTAAAAAATGAATAATAATAATAATAATTAAAGAGCAGCAGTAAAATAACAGTAGCGAGGCTATATACAGGGGGTACCAGTACAGAGTCAATGTGCGGGGGCACAGGTTAGTCGAGGTAATTGAGGTAGTACAGTGCCTTGCAAAAGTATTCAACCCCCTTGCCGTTTTTCCTATTTTGTTGCATTACAACCTGTAATTTAAATGGATTTTTATTTGGATTTCATGTAAATCGACATACAGAAAATAGTCCAAATTGGTGAAGTGAAATGAAAAATATAACTTGTTTCAAAAAAGTCTAAAAAATTAATAACGGAAAAGTGGTGCGTGCATATGTATTCACCCCCTTTGCTATGAAGCCCCTAAATAAGATCTGGTGCAACCAATTACCTTCAGAAGTCACATTATTAGTTAAATAAAGTCCACCTGTGTGCAATCTAAGTGTCACATGATCTCAGTATATATACACCTGTTCTGAAAGGCCCCAGAGTCTGCAACACCACTAAGCAAGGGGCACCACCAAGAAAGCAGCACCATGAAGACCAAGGAGCTCTCCAAACAGGTCAGGGACAAAGTTGTGGAGAAGTACAGATCAGGGTTGGGTTATAAAAATATATCCGAAACTTTGAACATCCCACGGAGCACCATTAAATCCATTATTAAAAAATGGAACGAATATGGCACCACAACAAACCTGCCAAGAGAGGGCCGCCCACCAAAACTCACGTACCAGGCAAGGAGGGCATTAATCAGAGGCAACATAGAGACCAAAGATAACCCTGAAGGAGCTGCAAAGCTCCACAGCGGAGATTGGAGTATCTGTCCATAGGACCACTTTAAGCCGTACACTCCACAGAGCTGGGCTTTACGGAAAAGTGGCCAGAAAAAAGCCATTGCTTAAAGAAAAAAATAAGCAAACACGTTTGGTGTTCGCCAAAAGGCATGTGGGAGACTCCCCAAACATATGGAAGAAGGTACTCTGGTCAGATTAGACTAAAATTGAGCTTTTTGTCCATCAAGTAAAACGCTATGTCTGGTGCAAACCCAACACCTCTCATCACCCCGAGAACACCATCCTGTGGGGATGTTTTTCCATCGGCAGGGACTGGGAAACTGGTCAGAATTGAAGGAATGATGGATGGCGCTAAATACAGGGAAATTCTTGAGGAAAACCTGTTTCAGTCTTCCAGAGATTTGAGACTGGGATGGAGGTTCACCTTCCACCAGGACAATGACCCTAAGCATATTGCTAAAGCAACACTCGAGTGGTTTAAGGGGAAACATTTAAATGTCTTGGAATGGCCTAGTCAAAGCCCAGACCTCAGTCCAATTGAGAATCTGTGGTATGACTTAAAGATTGCTGTACACCAGCGGAACCCATCCAACTTGAAGGAGCTGGAGCAGTTTTGCCTTGAAGGATGGGCAAAAATCCCAGTGGCTAGATGTGCCAAGCTTATAGAGACATACCCCAAGAGACTTGCAGCTGTAATTGCTGCAAAAGGTGGCTCTACAAAGTATTGACTTTGGGGGGGGTGAATAGTTATGCACGCTCAAGTTTTCTATTTTTTTGTCTTATTTCTTGTTTGTCTCACAATTTTTTTTATTTTGCATCTTCAAAGTGGTAGGCATGTTGTGTAAATGAAATGATACAAACCCCCAAAAAATCAATTTAAATTCTAGGTTGTAAGGCAAAAAAATAGGAAAAATGCCAAGGTGGGTGAATACTTTCGCAAGCCACTGTATGTACATGTAGGTAGAGTTAGCCTTTAGCTCGGTGCGGATGTTGCCTGTAATCCATGGCTTCTGGTTGGGATATGTGGGGACGACGTCGTCGATGCACTTATTGATGAAGCCGGTGACTGAGGTGGTATACTCCTCAATGCCATTGGATGAATCCCGGAACATATTCCAGTCTGTGCTAGCAAAACAGTCCTGCAGCGTAGCATCCGGGTCATCTGACCACTTCCGTATTGAGCGAGTCACTGGTACTTCCTGCTTTAGTTTTTGCTTGTAAGCAGGAATCAGGAGGATAGAATTACGGTCAGATTTGCGAAATGGAGGGCGATGGAGAGCTTTGTACGCATCTCTGTGTGTCGAGTAAAGGTGGTCTAGAGTTTTTTACCCTCTGGTTGCACATGTGACATGCTGGTAGAAATGAGGTAAAACGGATTTAAGTTTGCCTGCATTAAAGTCCCCGGCCACTAGGAGCGCCACTTCTGGATGAGCATTTTCTTGTTTGCTTATGGCCTTACCAGCTCGTTGAGTGCGGTCTTAGTGCCAGCGTCGGTTTGTGGTGGTAAATAGACGACTACGAAAAATATAGATGAAAACTCTCTTGGTAGATAGTGTGGTCTACAGCTTATCATGAGGTACACTACCTCAGGCGAGCAATACCTCGAGACTACCTTAATATTAGACATATTGTGACATATTGAGAAATAGACACACACCCCCACCCCTCGTCTGACCAGACGTACAGTAAACCCAGCCAATTGTTTATTATCTGTGTCGTCGTTCAGCCACGACTCAGTGAAACATACAAAATTACAGTTTAATGTCCCGTTGATAGGATAGTCTCGAACGGAGCTCATCCAGTTTGTTCTCCTGTGATTGCACGTTGGCCAATAGAACGGATGGTAGAGGCAGGTTTCCCACTTGCCGACGAATTCTCACAAGGCACCCTGGTCTGCGTCCCCTGTATCTCCTTATTTTCTTCATGCAAATGACGAGGATTTGGGCCTTGTCCGGGAGCAACGTTATATCCTTCGCGTCAGACTCATTAAATAAAAAATATTTGTCCAGTTCGGGGTAAGTAATCACTGTTCTGATATCCAGAAGCTCTTTTCGGTCATAAGAGACTGTAGCATCAACATTATGTACAAAATAAGTTACAAACAATGCGAAAAAACACGCACAATTGGTTAGGAGCCCGTAAAACGGCAGCCATCCCCTCCATTTTCAAGCTCTGTCAAATTGGTTGTTGATCATTGCTACACAGCCATTTTCAGGTCTTGCCTTTGATTTTCAAGCAGATTTAAGTCAAAACTGCAACTCGGTCACTCAGGGACATTCACTGTCTTCTTGGTAAGCAACTCCAGTTTAGATTTGGCCTTGTGTTTTAGGTTATTGTCCTGCTGAAAGGTGAATTCATCTCCCAGTGTCTGGTGGAAAGCAGACTGAACCAGGTTTCTTCTAGGATTTTGCCTGTGCATAGCTCCATTCCCTTTCTTTTTTATCCTGATAAACTCCCCAGTCCTTAATTATTACAAACATACCCATAACATGATGCAGCCACCACTATGCTTGAAAATATGGAGTGTTACTCAGTAATGTGTTGTATTGGATTTGTATTGGATTTGCCCCAAACATAACAAAAAGTTAATTGCTTTGCCATGTGTTTTGCAGTATTGCTTTAGTGCCTTGATTGACAGGATGCATATTTTTGTTTTTATTCTCTACATGCTTCTGAATTTATAAAATAATTATGGTGTCTACAGAACTTGTTTCTTTACTAGTAAGGGATTTCCTCAAGTTATGATTAGCCGACGATAGCTAACTTTGGATGGGTGACAAAAGTTCCAGCCATTGTGTTGGCTGTTGTCATCTTACCTATCTGGTTTCTGTTTGGCGAGTAGAAAGCATTGACAACAGCAGCGCCAATGATCCACCTAGTAAAAAAAAACAATTAGAATAAAGATATCACCATTTGAGAGAGAATGTGTACTCACGTGTAAATGTGCTTATGTTCACTTCCCACTGGGCACACACTGGTTGAATCAACGTTGTTTCTACATCTAGATGACATTGAACCAACGTGGAATAGATGTTGAATTGACGTCTGTGCCCAGTGGGGGGGGTCTACAGTATGTGAGGCTAAATGGATGTATCTTACATGTCCGGGTCGACCGGCTCTCTCAGCTTCTTCAAAGTCTTGTGTGCTTCAGCCTGCAGGTTCTCAAGGATGTTCTCAAAGTAGTTCTCCTCACTGAAGTTCAGCTGCAGAGAGAGACCAGATCATCAGAAACAATAGACAACAATTTGTACATCCATTTCTCTTTGAAAAGGAGGATGTATCATAGTCCTTTGTCCAGGTCACACATACATGGGCATACTCCTGGTCAAGCTTCAAATTGCTCTCTTCCAGAATGTGGTCAGGATAGCCAATATGCTCCTTTATGGCCATGGCCTGTAACATAGAGCAGTAGAACATTTAGCTGGTAAGTTCTTTGTTTTACACATTCAAAACGCTGATGTACATGGTATGTTTGTTTGCAATGCTTTGTTTGTACCTTCTCTCTTGCCTTCTCCTTAGACTGGTCATCCATCCAGCTAAGCTCCTCAAGTGTCTCCACATACGCTTCCTGGATCTTACTGATGAGGTCACTGACCTGTCCACACAAAGAGTTAATAAATCAACATATACACACCCGTAATAACTCACATGGACACAAACGGGCACTCATGTTAAAAATGCGGACTAAACTGCTTAAGTGACAGTGATATAATAAGCCGGTGAGGGATTTTCCTGTTTTGCCTCCATCCCATCAACAGGAGTGACTCACCATGCGTTTACTCTCGCCAGCAAAGGTCTCTCGCACATACAGAGCACCCACTGCGTTCTCCATGCTGCCCTGGACGTAGCGCACACAGTCTCTCCACCGCGCCTCCTCCACCGTGGTCCCGTACAGAGCCTGACACACACACACACACACACACACGCGCGCGCACACACACACACACACACACACACGCACACACACGCACACACACGCACACGCACACACACACGCACACACGCACACACACACACACACACACACACACGAATTAGCTTTTCAATGTGCTTGTTTCTAAGTGTGCTCCTAGGTGTGCTCATATATCCGTCTCGCCTTTCTATAGTGTGCCCTGGCATCTTTGAAGCGGCGACTCAGGCTGCTGACTCTCTCCATGACGAGCTGCCAGGTGAGGTAGTTCTGCATGGTCCTGGAGGAGGCAAACATGGATATATTCACCAATCATGTCACTCAATCACTCAAGCAATGGATCTACATGACGCACACAGCCCAAGATGATGTGACCACAATCTACCCTCCTGCATGACTCACATGATAATTCACAGTAGATACTATATTGATAGAAGCACATTTGAACTATGGGCTCTCGTTGGGCAGAGTCTGACCTGACAGTGTGTTTGGAGAGCACGTCGTTCATCTTCTCCAGGTAGGGGGAGCTGTAGACCACCACCTCCTCCTCTAGCTGTAGCTCCACAGCCACGCTGGACAACACTCCACGCACAAACCTCATCCAGTTAAAACCCTGTCAGAAATATCAGCGTTTTTTCTATTATTATCATCAGGCTGAGCCTTCTTCTGCAAGCAACAAGTACCTTCGGAAAGTATTCAGACCCCTTGACTTTTTCCACATTTTGTTACGTTACAGCCTTATTCTAAAATTAACTAAATACACACAATACCCCATAATGACAAAGCAAAAATAGGTTTTTAGAAATGTTTGCTAATTTACAAAATAAATAAGTTAAAAAAATTTTTTTTACATAAGTATTCAGACCCTTTACTCAGTACTTTGTTGAAGCACCTTGCCAGCGATTACAGCATCGAGTATTCTTGGGTATGACGCTACAAGCTTGGCACACCTGTATTTGGGGAGTTTCTCCCATTCTTCTCTGCAGATCCTCTCAAGCTATGTCAGGTTGGATGGGGAATGTGGCTGCACAGCTATTTTCAGGTCTCCCCAGAGATGTTCGATCGGGTTCAAATCCGGGCTCTGGCTGGGCCACTCAAGAACATTCAGAGACTTGTCCCGAAGCCACTCCTGTGCTGTCTTCACTGTGTGCTTAGGGTCGTTGTCCTGTTGGAAGGTGAACCTTCGCCCCAGTCTGAGGTCCTGAGCGCTCTGGAGCAGTTTTTCATAATGATCTCTCTGTACTTTGCTCCGTTCATCTTTCCCTCAATCCTGACTAGTCTCCCAGTCCCTTCCGCTGAAAAACATCCCTACATTATGATGCTGCCGCCACCATGCTTCACCGTAGGGATGGTGCCAGGTTTCCTCCAGACATGAGGCTTGGCATTCAGGCCAAAGAGTTCAATCTTGGTTTCATCAGACCAGAGAATCTTGTTTCTCATGGTCTGAGTCCTTTAGGTGGCTTTTGGCAAACTCCAAGCTGGCTGTCATGTGCCTTTTACTGAGGAGTGGCTTCCGTCTGGCCACTCTACCATAAAGGCCTGATAGGTGGAGTGCTGCAGATGGTTGTCCTTCTGGAAGGTTCTCGCATCTCCACAGAGGAACTCTGGAGCTCTGTCAGAGTGACCATTGGGTTCTTGGTCACTTCCCTGACCAAGGCCCTTCTTCTCCGATTGCTCAGTTCGGCCGGGCGGCCAGCTCTAGGAAGAGTCTTGGTGGTTCCAAACTTCTTCCATTTAAGAAAGATGGAGGCCACTGTGATCTTGGGGACCTTCAATACTGCAGAATTGTTTTGGTACCCTTCCCCAGATCTGTGCCTCGACACAATTCTGTCTCGGAGCGCTACGGACAATTCCTTCAACCTCATGGCTTTGTTTTTGCTCTGACATGCACTGTCAACTGTGGGACCTTATATAGACAGGTGTGTGCCTTTCCAAATCATGTCCAATCAATTGAATTTACCACAGGTGGACTACAATCAAGTTGTTGAAACATCTCAAGGATGATCAATGGAAACAAGATGCATCTGAGCTCAATTTTGAGTCTCATAGCAAAGGGTCTGGATACTTATGTAAATAAGGTATTTCTGTTTTTAATTTTCTATACATTTGCAAAAAAAAAAACTATTTTCGCTTTGTCATTATGGGGTATTGTATGTAGATTGAGGATGTAACGTAACAAAATGTGGAAAAAAGGAAGGGGTCTGAATACTTTCAGAATGCACTGTACATATAGTACAGTGTACTATTAATAGACAAAGCCATCCGACTCAAGTCTCATCCACTTGAAATCACTGGAGTGGAAGCACTTACGTTGAGATTAAAGGACTCCTGCAGCTTACTAAGGGTCATCTTATTGTAGAGAATCGTGACATCCTGACGTTCCTCTGCAGGGGATGTGGCCTATGACACGACAGCACAGAAAGCATATGTGTACAGTAATGTCTGATGTATTATAATTTAAGGTGACAAAATGTATTTAGACGTAATATTGATCTATTCATGATATTCATAAAATATAACATGCAGACAACATAAAGTACAATGTAGTTCATTTCATGAGTCTCTATTAGATGTTTCTTGCTGTAGACTAATTCATTGAAGTCTCTTTTTAATTTCTGTCACAGTTCTGGTTCCTATTGTGGCAGGTTGGCACTCACATTGGCAATATCTGTCTCCAGCTCCAGCACCTGCACCATTTCCTCCACCACACGGTCATCTTCCTGGGTCAAGTTCCTGTTCTCGCGGGCAATCCTCGCCATGGAAACCATGAACTGCAAGTAGGCCTCTCGCACCTAAAGAGACATATGACACATAAATGCAAAGTTGACCTGCAATAACATCAATATAACATTAATAAGATGTTGATGAAAGTACCCTTTTGTAGTTTCCATCGTTGAAGTAATAATCTCTGGATGGCATTCCCAGTCCTGGCTGGTCAATCTGTAAAATATAAACAGACATGTCAGTTTTCTATCACCAAATCAGTATTGGTGAAAATTTACAAAAAAAACACTGAACTTTGGGAACATGATGTATTCAGACACTGTCCTTACGTAGATAATGTGGCGCTTGGAGTCGCGGTCATCCGTCCACACATACATGTCCAGCATAACCTTTTTGTGGTAACGAGAGTTGAGGGTGGCTAGAGTGTCCTCCAGGCTCCAGGCCTCTTCTGGGATAATAACATTAAAACAATTATACACAAAGCCATTCAATATAACATTAAACATCTGTCTTGCAGAGAGTACACTGACTATCTCTCACACAGCCAAGTATACAGTGCCTTCAGAAAGTATTCATATCCCTTGATTTATTCCACATTTTGTTGTGTTACAGCCTGAATTCAACATTGATTACATATATTTTTTTATCTCACCCATCTAACCACAATAACCCATAATGACACAGTGAAAACATGTTTTTAGACATTTTTACAAATGTATTGAAAATTAAATCCAGAAATATCTCCTTTACATAAGTATTCACACCCGAGTCAATCCTTTGTATAAGCACCTTCGGCAGTGATAACAGCTGTGAGTCTTTCTGGGTAAGTCTCAACATTTGACCATTATTCTTTTAAAAATTCTTCAAGCTCTGTCAAAATCATTGCTAGACAACCATTAAATCTACTTGAAAATCTATGGCAAGACCTGAAAAGATTTCAGTCAAAACTGTAACTCGGCCACTCAGAAACATTCACTGTCTTCTTGGTAAGCAAATCCAGTGTAGATTTGGCCTTTTTAGGTTATTGTCCTGCTGAAAGGTGAATTCATCTCCCAGTGTCTGGTGAAAAGCAGACTGAACCAGGTTTTCCTCTAGGATTTTACCTGTGCATAGCACCTCTGTACCTTCGGGCTCTGATCAGTCCCTACACCCAAACGAGGGCATTGCGTTCATCCACCTCTGGCCTGCTGGCTCCCCTTCCTCTGCGGAAGCATAGTTCCCGCTCAGCCCAGTCAAAACTGTTCGCTGCTCTGGCACCCCAATGGTGGAACAAGCTCCCTCACGACGCCAGGACAGCGGAGTCACTCACCACCTTCCGGAGACATTTGAAACCCCACCTCTTTAAGGAATACCTGGGATAGGATAAAGTAATCCTTCTACCCCCCAAAAAAAAATTGTAAAGTGATTATCCCACTGGCTATAGGGTGAACGCACCAATTGGTGAGTCGCTCTGGATAAGAGCGTCTGCTAAATGACGTAAATGTGCCCTTGAGCAAGGCACTTAACCCTAATTGCTCCTGTAAGTCGCTCTGGATAAGAGCGTCTGCTAAATGACTAAAATGTAAATGTAAATGTAATTCCGTTTATTTTCTATCCTGAAAAACTCCCCAGTCCTTAACGATTACAAGCATACCCATAAAATGATGTTGCAAACAGGATGCATTGTTGCAAACAGGATGCATGTTTTGGAATATTTTTATTCTGTACAGGCATCCCTTTCACTCTGTCAATTAGGTTAGTATCGTGGAATAACTAAAATGTTGTTGATACATCCTCAGTTTTCTCCTATCACAGCCATTAAACTATGTAACTGTTTTACAGTCACCATTGGCCTCATGGTGAAATCCCTGAGCGGTTTCCTTCCTCTCCGGCAACTGAGTTAGGAAGGACACCTGTATCTTTGTAGTGACTGGGTGTATTGATACACCATCCAAAGTGCAATTAATAACTTCACCATGCTCAAAGGGATATTCAATGTATGCTTTTTTTTTTAATGTTCACCCATCTACCAATAGGTGCCCTTCTTTGCGAAGCATTGGAAAACCTCCCTGGTCTTTGTGGTTGAATCTGTGTTTGAAATTCACTGCTCGACTGAGGGACCTTACAGATAATTGTATGTGTGGGGTACAGATATGAGGTAGTCATTCAAAAATCCTGTTAAACACCATTGTTGCTCACAGAGTGACTTGTTAAGCACATTTTTACTCCTGAACTTATTTAGGCTTGCAATAACAAAGGGGTTGAATACTTATTGCCTCAAGGCATTTCAGCTTTTTATTTTTAATTAATTTGTAAAATTCCACTTCGACATTATAGGGTATTGTTTGTTGATCAGTATGAAAAATGTATGCACTTACTAACTATAAGTCGCTCTGGATAAGAGCGTCTGCTAAATAACTAAAATCTAAAATGTAAATGTAATAAAATCTCAATTTAATCAATGTTAAATTCAGGCTGTAACACAACAAAATGCCGCACAATTTACAGAGCAGTCATAAATCTGTTTGTGCAAATGCACCAGATGCACTTACGCGTGGTTAATTCTGTTTGAGCCACCGTCTTTGATTACATTTAATTATCCTGGAGGTTTGGCGCAGAGCACAGCGGTCTATTTTAAGAATCAGTCACAGTCCTGGTTGAGGAGCTACTCTGCTTCCCACTCACTCACTCACCCCCCCCCCGCCAACCCACCCGCCCACCATCACAACACCTGAGAGCTGGGAGGAGGGGCAGGCTGGATGAGCATGTCACATGTCACTCATCATTTCAGCTGGTGTGTGTGTATCAGTACCTGTAACACTGTTCCAGTCCTCAGAGGCAACAGGCCAGTCTCCTATGCTGTCGATGAGACGCATGAGAGGCTGGGAGTCGCGCTGCTCTATCAGAGCTACAGGAGACAACACAGTAACACCATTACTAACGCACTGTGAGTGAATCTTACATACTTACTGTTGATGAATATTACAGAGTATGCAACTAATTCTGATGAAACCAAAGATCTGTGTAATAGTGTTAACTGTTGTTGAGTTAGTATGAGTTTAGATGAGAGAAATCCGACTCACTCTCATTCATGCAGGAGCTGTAGAGAGTTTTGGCCTTCTTGAAGGCGTCACGGTCCTGATCACTCTCAGTCTCAAAAACTCCTGTGAGAAGATAACCAACATCATCACAAAGATTGACCTAATTTTGTTCATTGATTTGATCTAACACAGCAGGTTGATGATAACACCATGTAATACAAGACAGTAGCTGACCATGGGTCACTTTTATCACATAATGGCAGACCCTGAGGTTACTATGGAAACATGTTGCTGACTGACCTTTAAAGGCCTGTTGCAGTCAAAAACATGATTTTCCTGTGTTTTATATACGTTTCCACACTATGAGGTTATGATCATGCCTTTTTGCACTATGAGGTTATGATCATGCCTTTTTGGTGTAAGAGCTGTTTGAAAAGACCGCCTGAAATTTCAGCCTGTTTTGGTGGGATGGAGTTTTGGCCTTCCATGGTGACATCACCATGCGGTAAATTAGTTAGTAGACCAATAAGAAAGAGAGTTCCAAACCTCTCTGCCAATAACAGCTCATTTTCAGTTTTCCCCTCCCCACTCAGGCCACTCCTAGCTAAATTCTTGCTTGAGAATTTGTTTTTTGCTAAGAAGCTATTTTTGTTTCTTTTTGCCCATTTTAATTTAAAACAATCGCAGTAAGATACACAAATGTTACCCAGAAATGATTTGACATTGAGATAAAAATGGCTACATTGGACCTTTAAGCACAATCTCCAGCTTGTCTCTGAGGATGTCAAAGACGCTGTGGCGGGAGCTGGTCTCCGGGATGACATGGCGCTCCAGCCAGCCCCCACAGGCATACTGGTAGAAGTTCTGACACGCCTCCACCGTTGCATCCATGTTCTGCAGGAGACGAGCAGCTGTGGGCCCACAGTCAGATGAGGAGTCAAGAAAGGGAAATATGGGATTACATAACAGGAAAGGGAAACTTGTGATGCAGTCGTCTGTCATGTTGATATAATATTGAGTGATGAGTTTGTTTTGGGAGGACGGACAACTCCATATGAAGGCGGAATGCTCACCTGCAGTAACACACTCAGGAGTTGTGCAAACATTGCTGGGGCCAGAAAGATACTGCTGCCCTGAAAACATCACAGTGAATGGATATAAGAGGATCTTTTAAGAAAAAACAACTATCGTCATTCCTGGCAAAGAGTATTAAATTATTAACAGCAGCATCAAGGACCCTTTAGATTTTCTCTGGCAAGTCATGGCTTGATACTGTCTGTCTGTCTGGTCTCTATGAAATGGCTGTGTCAGCGTTGACTATTCTCTCACTTTTGTCCGAGGGAATTAGAAGGGGAACATCCTCTGGCCAGTTTACATTGTACCGTATCCTATAACATGAATATAATCACAGATTTCAACTCAAGTGTCAAGCCTCACCCTCAGTGACTGAGCTCCTTGACACACCAGGTATCTCTGCATGGGAGAGAAAATAAACATACAACATGCTTGATCAGGGAAGTTACTAGTACAGTATGGAATGCTTTACTCACCTCAATATTGGACATTTTATTCTAATTAGAAAATTGGTTGCCTATTTATGCCTCAATATATTTTACAAAACACTCTGGAATAGTTGTCACAAGATGCTCATAAAGTTGTTCAAATACTGCTTGGTTTGTGCTTTCCAACTAGACTCATCATAACATGAAAACCTGATAAATATCACACATGTTCTGGTAAATCATTTCGAGTAAGAGGTGAGTGTAATAGTGGAGGTCAAATTCTATATTTATTTCTACTACCCAATGCCCATTGCCCAACTATAGTCAAACCATATGACCTCCACAATTTGACATACCCGTGAAAAATTGTAAATTGCATTACCATTAGTGGGGGAAATCAGAGTGTCACAGACCAAATCAGGGCATTACGCACTTTACTTTACAAATGGCATGGCATTTAGCAATTGATTAGGTAGACTAGTTCCCGGTTGTTGGGTTGAGCCTACCTCTCAGAGCCGAAGTGTAGAGGACTATCAGTCCAGCTAGGGCACAGCTGACCAGCAACAACAGCACAGATAGCCCGATCTCCGCAACAGTCCAACGGCGCTTCCCTGGTTTGGTTGATTTTTCCATGATATCCATTTGGCTTTCGGATTTGCCCATTCTCACCTCTCCGGCCTCTCTGGAAAATTAGCGTGCAGAGTGACGGGGACGGGGTACAGGCAGAGAGCCTGCGTACCCGTTTGTGAGTGGGCTGTGCAAAGTGATGCAGTGCTATGCCAGTCGCTCAAGTGACCTAGACCGAGTGAGAGAAAACATAATTGAACCTTCAACTTACCTCTTCTTCGTATGAAAGTGTGTCTCCTTTCTATGCTAAAGCTCCTTTATATGCTAATAGCCTAATGAATCACACCCTTCCATTGGGCCTACTGCGCAACTGGAAATAAATAATTGTACGTGTCCGATGTGATCAATGGTGTTCCCTTGACTGCTTCTGTGATATGACCCAGACACAGCTGACACGGATGCACACAACAAATTGTGAGCTCGGCTAAGCTACTTCGCTATTTTGAGAAAATTCTTAGTTTGGATACGTTTTTAGCCTTACAAGTGGTCATATTAGGCTTAATGTTAGATATAACGTGGGTTTCTTCACCCACTCATATCTTAAAGCATTTTGAATTAAATTATGCATTTGTTCTTTTAGTACAAAAAAATGATGTGTAAGCCTAACTGAATAGGGGTAATGTAGCCCTTTATAATTCTACAGTTGGCTGTACACCTCCAGAACAATATTTCCTACTCATCACAATGTTTTAACTGAACACAATATTGCACATTAGCATTTCTGGGGAACAAATCCCAATGAGTCATACCTTTAAGCATCACTTCGCATCTTTTCACTCATCAACATCTGTTACTCCTCCCATACCAGCCTGTTGCACACTTTCTCTAGCTGCTCTTCTAATAGGAGTGACAGGAGGCAGGGCTGTAAATCAGAGGTTCATGTCGCTGTGCCCCATTAGCTCCTCCTGATGAATACTCATGGGCACATGTCTGGCACTGCTGTGATGGGGGGTGAAGGAGGGGGAGGAGGGTATGCTGTTGGAGGAGCTACAGTTCTTTACTGCCCATCTCTAATATATTCACAGAAGCTGTCTGTCTCTATGTCAGATATCTCTGTAGTCAACAAGACCAGGTTGCTCTGGTAAGCCTGTATCCAAGCCTAAATCTGCTTTCACCCCTCAGACAAAATATACAATGAATTCATTATTTTGATATTTAGATATTGCATATTTGATATCTAATTTGATTGCACTGTCATCGTTAAGGATCTTTTTCCAAATCAGGTTTCTTATGGCTGTGGTCATTTATGTTTTCAATTCCGTTGATATATACTAAACAAAAATATAAACCCAACATGCAACAATTTCATTGATTTTACTGAGTTACAGTTCATATGAAGAAATCAGTCAATTGAAATAAATTCATTAGGCCCTAATCTATGGATTTCACATGACTGGGAATACAGATATCCATCTGTTGGTCACAGATACCTTATAAAAATGGGCCTCACATTGGGCCTCAGGATCTCTTCACAGTATTTTTGTGCATTCAAATTGCCATCGATAAAAATGCAATTGTGTTTGTTGTCCATAGCTTATGCCTGCCCATACCGTAACCCCACCACCACCATGTGGCACTCTGTTCACAATGTTGAGATCAGCAAACCGCTCGCCCACACAACGCCATATGTGGTCTGCGGTTGTGAGGACGGCGAGGACGGTTGGACATACTGCCAAATTCTCTAAAATGACATTGGAGGCGGCTTATGGTAGAGAAAATAACATTAAATTATCTGGCAACAGCTCTGGTGGACATTCCTGCAGTCAGCATTGCCAATTGCACACTCCCTCAAAACCTGAGACATCTGTGGCATTGTGTTGTGTGACAAAACTACACATTTTATAGTGGCCTTTTATTGTCCCCAGCACAAGGTGCACCTGTGTAATGATCATGCTGTTTAATCAGCTTCTTGATATGCCACACCTGTCAGGTGGATGGATTATCTTGGCAAATGAGAAATGCTCACTAACAGGGATGTACACAAATTTGTACACAAAATTGGAGAGAAATAAGCTTTTTGTGCATATGGAACATTTCTGGGATCTTTTATTTCAGCTCATGAAACATGGACCAACACTTTACATGTTGCGTTTATATTTTTGTTCAGTATAGGTATTACCCTCAAATATCTTGGGGAATAGATGAGATTTAGTAATTTTTAAAAGAGTCCTTCTATTTAGACCATGAGCAGCGTTTCACTTTGTGAATTAGAGCAATGATGCAATGTTATGGTGTATAACTAGACGTCAAAAGGAAACCTTTGGGTGGAAAATGTAATGGATTTAGACTTTCTTTGCTCTAAGCACCTTTTCTTGTTAGTTGGGATTACATGTTTGGTGACTGGTACCATAGCCACTTCTCTAAACTTCTCAACTCTGTGCCAGGGATTAGTGCCTGCCTGTGTGTCAGTTCAACAGAATGAACTTACTCCATGTTTCTGAACTCTGAGCCTATACTCACGTCTACACATATTGTTTTGTTTATACACTACATTACCAAAAGTATGTGGACACCTGCTTGTGCAACATCTCATTCCAAAATCATGGGCATTAACATGGAGTTGGTCCCCCCTTTGCTGCTATAACAGCCTCCACTCTTCTGGGAAGGCTTTCCACTACTTGCTTCCATTCAGCCACAAGAGCATTAGTGAGGTCGGGCACTGATGTTGGGCAATTAGGCCTGGCTCGCAGTCGGTGTTCCAATTCATCCCAAAGGTGTTCGATGGGGTTGAGGTCAGGGCTCTGTGAAGACCAGTCAAGTTCTTCCGATCTCGACAAACCATTTCTGTATGGACCTCGCTTTGTGCACAGGTGCACTGTCATGCTGAAAGTTGGAAGCACAGAATCGTCTAGAATGTCATTGTATGCTGTAGCGTTAAGATTTCCCTTCAATGGAACTAAGGGGCCTAGCCCAAACCATGAAAAACAGCCCCAGACCATTGTTCCTCTTCCACCAAACTTTACAGTTGGCACTATGCAGTCGGGCAGGTAGCGTTCTCCTGGCATCCGCCAAACCCAGATTTGTCCGTCGGTGAGATTTACACCATTCCAGCCGATGCTTGGCATTGCACATGATGATCTTAGGCTTGTGTGCGGCTGCTCGGCCATGGAAACCCATTTCATGAAGCTCCCGACAAACAGTTCTCGTGCTGACGTTGCTTCCAGAGGCAGTTTGGAACTCGGTAGTGAGTGTTGCAACCGAGGACAGACGATTTTTACGCGCTACGTGCTTCAGCACTTGGCGGTCCCATTCTGTGAACTTGTGTGGCCTACCACTTCACGGCTGAGCCGTTGTTGCTCCTAGACGTTTCACTTCCCAATAACAGCACTTACAGTTGACCAGGGCAGCTCTAGCAGGGCAGAAATTTGACAAACTGACTTGTTGGAAAGGTGGCATCCTATGACGGTGCCACGTTGAAAGTCACTGAGCTCTTCAGTAAGGCCATTCTACTGTCAATGTTTGTCTATGGAGATTGAATGGCTGTGTGCTCGATTTTATACACCTGTCAGCAACGGGTGTGGCTGAAAAAGCAGAATCCACTAATTTCAAGGGGTGTTCACATACTTTTGTATATATAGTGTATCTGTGTAGTGACAAAGAAAATGTAACATTTTAAATATTTATTTTTAATTGTTGTCTAGTTTGTTAAGACATTTCAGGTGGCTTTGGGGGTATTTGTAAGAGGCACACATGCAGCGTTCATGGTCAAAACAATCCATAAAGTAAGCTACATGCATGATACAGTATTCATGCAAGATAGAATAGAAAAGTGGTAGCAAAATTAGTATACATAAATGACATTAAATAAAATGACCAGCAAAGATCCTACAAATGAGACTGCAGTTTAAATCCTATGAAAACGTGGAACTATAGCAGCAATAAAGATATATCTGCGTATGTACCTGTCCTGGTTCAATGTGTTCAAAGGTAGGTAGCAAGGGAGTGCCTGTGAGGCAGTGCTCCTTACCTGTATCTAGACGGTAGAACTCCCTGAGACGTCCCTCACAGCAAGCTGTATTTCCCAGACACCCCTACTGAGCTGTCACCCAGAGCTGGTGTGTGAAGAAATGACGCTGTGGCGCTGGATGCTGGAGAGAGACTATCTGATCCAGTTTGCAGCTCAGGGAGTGAGTGAGAGAGAGAGTGAGAGAGAGAGATGGAGAAAGAATATCCTTTACAAAAAAAACACATGAATGGAAATGATTTCCTTGCAATATTTTGTTTTTCCTATCAATACTTTTGGGTTTATGTTTTGCTTTCAATATCATATTTTTGTTTTACAATACTAAGAATTTTGTTCTCGACTTCAGAAGTTTTGCTTGATATTAATGGCACAAAAGTAACTCACTCACTAGAGGATTGCACCATATAATTACTCTATTAAAGGTGTTTAAAGCTACAATCCTTCATTTAAAATTAACAAAGTGTACTCTCTGCCACAGTTTCAGTAAAAAGCTGAGGGATGGGGCTGGAGAAATGCAACCACTCTCAAATCCATAGACTACGCTATGGATGCAAAGGCTGACCATCCATGATATCAAAATAATAGTTTTAACAATGTTTTTAGGCTAAACAGTGGTTGTTAAAATTTACTTTGTTTACAAACGTTGGAGTAAAACAAGCTTATATTTTGGGTTCTGATGGGGAACTAAGCTCATGAGCTTTTGAGAGTGGTTATGTTATATTCTTCAAGTGAGATTTTCACATGTGGAGTTTTTTTTACATGTGAAATGACAAATGTGGATTATAATTAATGGACATTTTTTATAGGGGCTGATAACATTTTCGTTATGGCAAATCAAGTCTAAAATGTTCAAGTGGAAATTACAAGGTTTAGAAGCCTTTTTAAACCTTGAATACAACTTCGAATACAAGTTTGAGTTTCTTGCTGTGTAGAAAATTCCTGCAACAATAGGATGATCAAATGAAGATACGGCATCTGTATTCTCCTATCGTAAAAAGGTGGTGTTATAATGTGAACTCTAAATTGCAACATGTGAAAATATGGTTTCAGGTGTGAAATTTAAGCTCAACATGTGAAACAGCTATTTCACA